TGGCTGGCAGGCTGCTGCTAGCTCTCTGCCAGGCAGATGAGAGCCGGGTTAATGTTGGGATTTGTTCCCTAAAGCTCTGACACAGAGGAAATACTGATCAGCTGCGCCGTCAGCCTCCAGACCTGTTAATCGCTAATCAGTGCTTACACAGAGCCAGTCTGACTCACACACACACACACACACACCTACCTACAAACAGACAGGGCGGAGGTGGATGGGTGACACTCACATCATTCTGATGTGTTTTGTCATCAATTATGTCTTAAACTTTTTTTCACTTTTCACTGTTTTTTTACCTAAAGTTTTTGTGTCTTTAAATACATGAAATCACACCAAATTAAAACTGTTCGCCGCGGGATTAAAGTGCACACGTGCTGTGAACTTGTTTCTCCTCTTCTTCTTATTCCACTGTGTTGTAGCTTTTCTGCCTCCGTCTCAGACGTTCTCTCTCTCCTTCTCCTCCAGCTTCACGTCCTCCTGCATTAGGTTCACCAGTCGTCTCTGGGGTTTTTCTTTCTTACCCTCTAACGCTAACACCCTCTGTCCATCGTTGCTCTCTGTTTGTCTACACATGGGACAAATTCCAAGGTGCCTTCGAACGATGAGATTAACTTGAGTTTGTAAAGCATCAATGTGAGGCTAAACTGTGTACTGCATGGACCGAACGTGGGCTCTGTCGAGGTACACGCTCAACTCTGTGGTAACTTTAGCGCTGAGCACCTGCAGCTGTACACCCCCAAACTACTATATATACAGTTTATGTTGTTGAGTTAGGTGCAAACCTTTTTATTTTGGCCAATCTATCTGCTGTCTGATCCTGCTCCAACTTTTTTATTTTGGCCAATCTATCTGCTGGCTGATCCTGAAGGAGTTCAGGTCTGTTAAGACAATGTTGTGGACAGATGTTGACACTAAAGGTCGGTAAAGTTTATAGTTATTAACATGTAATGAAAAATGCATTAAAGTTTTGTTTTTTCTCACATTTTACTAGCATTAAAACAAGAGTTTCACAACCCGTTTTGCCAAAGGTGAATGCAATTTCTTTATTTCATTTATTTATTTCACTTCACAAAGCAGTGTATTTTTTAAAACTGATACGTTGATCATCTGTGAGGCATTTTAAAATATGTAATTTGTCCGTTCAGTTATTTCTGAATTGACTATTTCAGGGTTGGGGGCAGTAAATGTTTGAATTTGTTTGTGTGTTTTGCCGCAGCTGTAAACCATGACTTAAAGATTCCACAGAAATACACACCAGACGTTACGGCGCCAACTTATTGTGATACATTTTTCCACCAAAGTTTACTTTCTGCCCCTCCCTGCAACAAACATTTTCCAGGAAAACGAGGCAGAAATGAAGGAGTCTTGCTGAAGAATTTATAAAATATTAGGTTTAGGAGTTTCCGTTGAATTTATAATAATCCAAGCTGCAGGACGTCCTCAGCTCCGGAGGTGAAGCAGCTCTGATTTGTAACACAGGAGGACAAGAAGCTTCAGCCCCAGTGTGTTCAGCTGGACCTTCTCTGTGGTTAATTCAACATCTCAATCACCTCCAATATCCTGCTCTGATTTTACCCTGTGCAATCAGACCTTCCTTCCTCTGACCCACCACCTCCTCCACCTCCTCCACCACCAACCGCCCGTCCACCAGCCTCAGATTGGACCAGTCATGTGGAAGGCGTTCATGGCGTATTGTTCTGGGCTGGGCCGTCCTCTCCGCAGGAACATAGGATTCTGTTTGAAGTCGTGATCCGGCACGGCCGACTCACCTGCAAGATCAATACGCCAGGGTTCAAAGCCGCTGGCTTCACAGAGAACACACTCTTATTAATTTATAGAAACTTCTAGAAACTTTGTCTGAAGGGAGAAAACCTCCAACTCTGTGTGGTGAAGAGACAGGGGGAATGGAGAATACACCTGGAGAGAGAGAGAGAGAGGGGGAGAGAGAGAGAGAGAGAGACGGAGAGGCCGACAGAACAAGAGAAGAAGAGATGGTGGAGGAATTGACCAACCATCTTCTAACACCTTATATGAATATGTAAATGAGCGGCTGTTTGATGTGCATTGATCATACACAAAAAGTGTGTGTGTGTGTGTATTTGAAGCAGCAGACAGATGATGAGGAAGATGGTTAAAAGACTCATTAGATCAAGTGTGTGTGAGAGAGAGTGTGTGTGCGTGTGTGTGTGTCTGTGTTTAACTCATTAAGGCAGTCTATTTGAGTTTTCCTTTGTTGTCAAATTTGATGATTTGAGGGGAAAAAAATTTCCAGCCCCTCGGATTCAAAGCGTTCCTGTTTCGGCGCTGCAAGCCCGCGGCGTGGAGGAATGAAACGCTCGACATTTATATTTAATGATATCAATTTATCAACAGGAACAATCTCAGGATGTTGGCTCAGATTTGATTCCATGTTCCTCTGTTTTCACCGCAGGGACACATGCGAGCACGCACGTTTCTTCCTTTCGTGGCGCTGCCGTTTCCATTCTCTCCTGGCTTTTTTCCCGCGTCTCTGTGCTGCTAATGGGCGACACGAGTTCCTGACAGTGCACTCCAACACGTGTCTGGCTCTGAGTTGCTTACCTCGTGGAGGAAACACAGAAACAGTGGTGGGAAAAATTACCTCGTGGAGGAAACACAGAAACAGCGGTGGGGAAAAAAAGAAAAATCCCAACAGCACGCCACGGTGTCAGCATTTCCTGTGAGTAGAAATGTAGATAAAGTCCAAACGTCATTAGGTCCAGTCAAGTCCTCAGTGTCAAAGTTCAAGTTCATGTCCACCCATAGAGTCTGAGATACAGTGATAATAAGTCTTCAGTGTTTGTGAAGGTTTCACAGTCATCCAGGTCAAGGTTGAAGAGTTCATCTGTTAGCTGAGAGGTAATAAGTCTTCAGTGTCTGTGAAGGTTTCACAGTCATCCAGGTCAAGGTTGAAGAGTTCATCTGTTAGCTGAGAGGTAAAACGTCTTCTTTGAGAAAAAAAAATTTCACGTCCATTTGCCTAACAGAACTCTTCATCCCGATGTCTTCAGTGTTTTGAGTCAGAGTCACTGCTCGTCTTTGATTGAAGTAGTCGTCAAGTCATCGTGACGAAAGTGAACTCTTGTCATACTGTAATCATGTCCCCTCTGAAATGATCAGAAATGATTTTCTTTTTTTTCCTTTCTTCCTTCCTTCCTCTTCATGTTCATCTTTTTTTCCTTCCTTCTTCTTCTTTCTTCTTTTTCTTCTTCTTTATTTTCTTGATTCATCATTCTCCAGAGGGAAATGTATCATCTGTGGCTAACATTGGTAGGTAATCACAGCCCAGATCCTATGACCACTAGGCCACTGGCTGCCCACATTAGTGGCCCACTTATAGATTCTGAATGTCACCTAGATCTTAGTCGACCCTCACCAACCTCGATGTGGTCCAAGTTCTTCACGATGAAGACTTTTAGGAACGTACCGTCACGATTCAAGTTTAAATCTATGGCCTGAGGTCACAAGGTCACTCTTGTTTGTTGACCCTTGAATTAATTCACACACAATTCTGACATTCAGACTCCTGAAGGAAGAGACTTTTGATTAGTGTCGTTATTTTTACAGAAGCTACATTGATGTTTCAGAGTGTGTGTGTGTAGTGTGTGTGCGTGGTGTTAGTGGATGGAACGCTCTTCATCCTGCTACTGCTTTTATGTGTTGTAGTCTGTATTGGTCCAGGATTTTGTAGAAGTGTGTGTGTGTGTGTGAGGGTGTGTGTGGGTGTGTGTGCCACATATGAAGTACTCCTAAACCAAGTGAACTTGCTCAAAGTAACAAGGTTCAAGAGAGGTTCAGCTGGAGAGGCTGAAAGTGAGTGTGATGTTGATGCTTAGGATAGATATTATAAGTCTGTGTGTATGTGTGCGCATGTGTGTGTGTGTGTGTGTGTGTGTAGAAAGTCCAGCAGAGCTCCAGCCGCTCCAGTAAACTCTGGGGAAGGGAGAGAGAATCCAAAGTCAGTCTGTGGAGAGTGAGGGTCTTTCCCTTTTAACTAAGACTCCCCTGGACTCTGTACACACTACAAAATTACAAACACACACGTGCACGCTCGGAGAAACGCGTGCACGTGTCTGGATACACGCACAGACGAAGCTGGAGCTCACACATCCTGACAGAGGCATGAAAACACACACTCCACGCACAAGGGACACAGAGATGTGGATGTGCACACAGACATAAACTCACATGGGATGGTGCTCGTCACACACACACTCACACACACACACACACACTCACACACTCTCTATCTTCCTCTCTTTTTGTTTCCCTCAGTAGTTCCTCGCTGTTTCATCTGACAGCTTATTCCCAGTGTGGCTCCACTCTGTATTCACCCTGGATCCCCTTTGCACAGACACACCACGGAACACACACACACACACAGTCACACACACACACACTCCCAAGTGCAAACAAGCGAAGAAAGGTGACCTCGGTCCACACACACACACTCGTACAAACTTGTAGTCACAACCATCAGACCGTCAAAGACGTACAAATTCACCAAATTTAAATTTCCATTTCTTTTCCACAGTTGAAATAAAACGGCGGTGTTTCACCGTAGACTTGAAGAATTTGCATATTTCCTCAAATGTTCATCGTGTCTGACATAAAGATGAGGTTTTGTCTAGTGTCGTTTTGGGGAACAGGACTTTTTTACATTCACAATTTGTGCTTTTTGTTTTGTATGTACAGAAACAAAACTAGGGCCAAGGAATCGAAAGCTGGTGGTGCTGACGTCCCTCATGTTGTTCTGTATTGTGGTTATATATCAAGTAAAACAATGATAAATATATATTACATACTGTATATATGGAATGTAACATTACATGTACTCACGTGACTTTTATTGATTCGATTTGTTGTGTACTTAAAAACTGTAATTTTTCTTTTACTTAAGTATGCTATGTTTTTCTTTATTTATAAGTATTGTACTTAGGTACACTACGGAAATCATATTTGTTACTGTCAAAAAAGGGGAAATTAAATCGCGACCTCTAACAGATTCTCACGTTTCCAAAGGTACCTGAATGCACCTCGTTTAGAGCCCGGGAAGTTTGGGGGTTCCGTTTATTATTGCGGCCATAATGAGGGGATAAGTAGTGTTTTAAAGCCGTCTGAGCTCACGTCACACGGAAAACCCCAGCGAATATTATAAGTTTAATTATAAAACTTTTAACTATTCTAACTCTCTCTCTACTTTTAAAATTAAAAACTGTAATTTTTCTTTTACTTAAGTATGCTATGTTTTCTTCGAAGTATTGTACTTAGGTACACTACGGAAATCACATTTGTTACTGTCAAAAAAGGGGAAATTAAATCGCGACCTCAAACAGATTTTCACGTTTCCAAAGGTACCTGAACGCACCTCGTTTAGAGCCCGGGAACTTTGGAGGTTCCGTTTGTTATTGCGGCCATAATGAGGGGATAAGTAGCGTTTTAAAGCCGTCTGAGCTCACGCCACACGGAAAATCGCAGCGAATATTAAAAGTTAAATTATAAAACGTAATAAGATAAATATGATCGACCAGTAACGTGTCTACGGTGTGGTTTTTCTTATGAATATTGAAGCGGTCGGAGAGGATAGAGTGTCCACCCGCGATGCTCTTACATTCGTAAGGTGCTAACAAACGGATAATTCCTGACTTTATATATAGAAGTTTGGGAGAATGTAACAGCGAAATAGAGTTGTTGTCACTGGAAATGGTAATTTTTACTCCACCTTAATTACGTTAGCATAAGCAACAGGTTATAACACGTTATAAGTGTAACGTAAGCAGCAGTTAGCAAAAAACTTCAGTGTTTCCGGTCACATCAGTGTTGTTTCTGGTGAACAGCAGAATGGCCTCCGTTCCTCGTTGTAAACACAGACTGCGCAGGAGGTGAATAATTTTTTCTAATAAAACCATTTTTACAAACATTAGCATTTTTGAGGTGAATAATTTTTTCTAATAAAACCTTTAACAGTTTTACAAACATTAGCATTTTAAAATATCCTTGATCCCTCAATTAATAAAATATTGGATTTTTAAAAAATATGCTGAAACCATAAACCTTTCCTGCTAAATATGTTTGAGTAGTTTAGCTGTTTTTTTAAACTGCATTAGTAAAAAAATAAAATAAAATCACATTTACTATAATCTGGTGCCTCAGATCACACAGTTTCCAACCTGTTGACATCAGAAGCTAACGCTCAACATTGTCACTTAAGAGCTTAACTAGTTACAGCTTACAGCAACCAGTTAACTTCATTAAAATTGCTGAAGAAAATCTCAGAATTTTAATTTTATTAAACCACTCTCTCTCTTTCTCTCCCTCTCTCTCTCTACCTCCCTTCCTGACTCTTTGTCTCCCTACTTAGGTTTTCCCTGAAGCACTTTGGGCAGAATCCCAGTGTTGGGCAAACCACCAGCATCTCCTGAGAGTGAGTGACATTCAGCCACTGTGCATCTGTGTATATAGTACATGTGCATACATACGCATGTGAGTTTCTGTGTGTGCCAGAGAGAGAGAGAGAGAGAGAGAGAGCGGTGGCTAGCCTTGAACCATCAGCCTAGCGGCACTACAGTAATAACTACAGGACTCAGTCAGTACCACAGGCAATGTGTGTGTGTGTGTGTGTGTGAGAGAGAGCTGTAGAGCTCTATGGGTGAGTGTGTATAGTTACAGGTGTATAGATCAGTTTGTGCACAAACACTTTGACCAGAAATGGATCAGGATCATATTCCATATCTGTATTTTAAACTCAGTTTATCCAGTGAGTCGTAGCCAGTCTGTTAAATACACAGTTATAACTCTGTGGATTATGGAAGGATGGATGAATAGGTAGGCAAATGGTTAAATGATGGATGATTACATGAAATGACAGATCAATGTACGGATGTATGACTGATGGACACATGAATGGATGAATGGATGGATGATGTATGAATGGATAGATGGCTGTATAAATGGATGGATGGATGATGTATGAATGGATGGATGCATAGTTCTATCTAATAAACCCAATATATACTAGGAATTATAATGTATATTATATATATTATCACTCTGCCCTCTCTTCCTAGTCATTCTTATAAACTTCCACTTCTCCTCTTTTAACTATTCTACCTCCCTCTCTTTCTATCTTTCCACTTCTCCTCTTTTAACTATTCTATCTCCCTCTCTTTCTATCTCTACCCCCCCCCTTCTCTCTCTATCTCTCTATCTCTCTGCTTGCTGCAGGGTTGATTGGAGGTTTTGTCACGCCTGCTTTGACAGGCCGGGCAGAGCTCAGGTCCCAACGGTTTGGCAATTATCCTCTAACCCAGCAGCCTACTACTGCACAAATGCACTCGGTCTCTCTCTAACGCTCTCTCTCTCTCCTGCTCATACACACACACACACACACCCACACACACACATTCATGGTCTGCATGTCAATACCGTCAGAGATGGGGAGACAGGCTTGTCTGTGTTTTCCATTTTCGTCTCATTTTCTATCTCTCTCTCTCTCCTTCTCTCTCTCCCTCTCTCTCTCTCCCTCTCTCATTAGAGGTGTGGGTTTTTGAGGGGAGAAAGGTGTGAAACTCCGGAGACTCTCTCTTAACATTCTCCTCTAATATACAGTCCATCTTAAGCCATTCAAGGCCTGAACTAACACTGGCTCTCACACACACACACACTCACACACACACTCACGCGCACGCTCATGCACTCACAGTAATCCTGGGAGATCACAGCGACTCCTCTTCCTCCTGCTAAGTAGCCTCAGAGCCGTGGAGAGACTGGCTGACAGTCTCTGCAGCTTAGTGAATGTACAGCAGCTTGTCAAGCACAGGAAGTAGCTTAGGCTGTGGAATTAACTTAAACATGCATTTGACAAAAACACAGAGGAGGGAGGGAGGGAGGGAGGAGACGAAGAAGAAGACGGAGCCGCAGCATCTGACCACATGTTCAGTAAACCAGTGCGGTCCGTAGCCTTTGACCAAAGAGTTATAAATCAATAGGATGAACATTGAGTTGTAAAACAACTTTTAACAACAAAGCTGTTTTTCTAAATATTCTCCATTTAAATCTGAACTTTTCTGTAGTGGTGTTTACGTCAGATAAAACAGGCACCAATGTTTTTACTGCTATGATTGGCTGCAGCCCCCTCTCCCCCACCCCACTATCCTGAGAATAAATGCATAAAAGTGGGACAGTGGAATCAAACCCAGAGCCTTCTGGTGGCAGGCAGGGGTCTCTGCCACTGCGTTCACCTACTTTGGATTAAATTAATAATTTCTTTTAAGGAAATTGAAGAAAATGTTTTACAGCATACTACAGTTAGTATTATTAGACTCAATGGTTGTTAATGTTAATTACAATGTTTACAGTTAGTATTATTAGACTCAATGGTTTTGTTAATTACGATGTTGATTAAATGATTAAATTCATGGTCGTTACCCTCATACGTGGCACTAGTTATAACTTCAGTTATTGGGTTGTTTGGTCTGGACCAGGAAAGTTCCAGAGATTGCGGAACCTCCTAACTGAGAGCGAATTTGTCCGTGTAAGTAAGAAAGTTTGAAATAATTCAGAATAAATAAAGTAAGTTAATTCTAGTCGATCGGCACTGCTGAGTTATCTTTAGGCCACGCAGCAGTTGCTCTCCAGTTTGCCGGGTTTTCCACACAGCTAGCTGGTGGTCCTGGATTATCCCACGGGGTTCATCAGACAGCTCATCAAGATGAGTGACAAGTGCAGCGGTGGACACTGAGGGAACGTTTTTTTTTGTGTGTTTCACAGTCGGGACTGTATAGGTGAATGTTATTAGCTGAAGCAGCAGCAGCAGTAGCAGCCGCGGAGGATTCAAACTGGGGGGCCAAGAAGCTGCAATAGAGTGAAATCCTGGGCAGACGAGCGGAGGAGTAACACACTGTTTTACACTTAGTGTGTCTAATATTACACTTCACTGAGTCGTGCGGGGAAGTTCACATATTAAGGAGATATATTTTCTATTTTTGTGGCTCTTAGCAGCAGAGGAAGTTCCCGTTCACAGGTGGCAGTAGTTAGTGGTCTTTTTTTTCCACACCAGGCAACATTTTAGTTTTTATGAGCTGACATTTGAGTTGACATTTGAAACAAATATAAAAATAAATAAAAGAATGATTACCTTTTGTGGACGAGTTGTTTTGGCGACTGGTAACTGAATTCTTTATATATACTTTTTATTTTTTTACTTTAGAAAAATGTATTTCTCAGTTATTAGCTAATCTATAATCAATATTTCTGAAATATTAAAACGTATGAATAAATAAAAATGAGATAATCAATATTTCTGAAATATTAAAACTATTTTATTTTATTTGCAAATTAGTTTCCCAATAATTAATATCATATAATAATTACAGCTATTAAACGAAAACATTTTTTAAAATTTTGATTAATCGTGATTAATCGTAATTTGACCACCAACAGAAGGCACATTTTTGTAACAAAAAGTTTTGCCCTTAGTCTGTGTAAACACCACGTGTATGGACGGTGCATTGGACAATGATGAAAGAATAGATGTGGGAACTATTGGATATACTGCAGTAAAGTGTGTTATAAAACTTGATAAATTCACAAAGTTCTATCTGTGTACTGGATTAGGTCCAGTCAACCCTCCTAAATGTTTCTCCCGAGGCCTTGTTGAAAGTGAATGTGAGCAGCTGCAGATTTTTCCTCTGATTAAACTCCCGTCACCTTTTTTTTTAACTTCTTTAATGAAGTTGTTCCTGTTTCTTGCCCTCTTCCCTCTCACGCCGCACCGCGGCACCATCGCCGTTTTCTAGCTGAGTGCCCTGGGCGGCGTAATCGTCAAATCCATCAACCCACTCGCCTCACATCAGATGAGCTGGCTGCTCTTTGATGGAGATGGACGTTGTAGCTTTATCAAACAGACAAAGCAGTGATCTTCCCTTCCGGCGTAAAACAACTACATGCACCTTACAGCAACAAACGCATCTGTGGTTGTGTGCGTGTGTGAATGTGTGTGAAGGCAGAACAAGTAGATGGGTGTAATTTCATAGGTGTGTGTGCTTGACTGTGTGTGTGTGTAGGCGGACCTTGCCTGAAGCTAAAGTCATTGAACAGTTAAGGAGTTCCTGCTACACTCCAGGCTAAAGCTGAAATGCAACCGTTTGACCATGTGTGAAATTACCACCTTTTTATGAGTGCATGCACACACACACAGTCTCACACACACATACGACACACAAATGCTTACAAATACACAATTATACCTACTCACAAACATACTGCAGCACTGACAGGCGGCAAACACACACATCCAAAAAACCTCGTGCAGAATACATGACGTGGCTGTTAGCTGCCGTGTGGCACAGTGACATGGAGGAGCCTCAGAAGTGCTAATACGGTAGCTCTGCCTGCATGTGCACGTGTGTTTCAGCGTGTCCCGTGTAAAGGGCTTTTTCATAACTGTTTAGAGGGAAAAAACTGAAGATATTGAAATACCATAAATTCATAAATTCATCTTGTTAATGAACAATGAATGTTTGGGAAGGTGGCGGCGAGAAATCACAGCTACGTAAAGAGAATTGCAAATTTGTGTCTTCAGCTTCATGATGTAGTGCCACAAGGTTGTACCCTTGGACCTTGTGTTTTCTTTCAGTATATTCTTCATTTGTGCTCTATTTTGGGTAAACATGGCATCTTTGATCGCCCTAGTGCGGTTGTTCTCAAACCTTTTTGCTCGTTCCTCACCAGGTGGGCCTTGTCTTATCCTTTTGCAGACATTGTCAGATTTTTGTTTTGCTTATTTTTACTGTTTGTTTTTTTTATTCTAAATATTGAATGTCTTTCTGTCTCTAAGCTTTGTTTAATTATACTTTTATAATGAATTTTAATGTGAAACACTAATCCAAAAAAAATATTTTTTTATTGCAGTTCCTGGAGAAAAACCTAGACACATGTCCAAGATATTCCAAGACCATCTCTCCAAGGTAGGACTCTAACTGGTTACATTCTCTCTGTGAGGCAGCACCAATACCCACTAGTCCACTAGACCGATTATTCTTAATCCATACTGCTGTAGATACCAGTTTCTAACCAATGTTAAAGTGAAGAAAATAGATGATAATGTCTACTCAACTTATGTGAATAACACCTAATAATTATATTTTTTTACTTTTTGTTCAAATTGTTATCAACATGATCAAAAATTTCCCTAAAAGTGCCTTCAAAGAGATAATGGCTAATGTGGCTAACAGATGTTGAAGGTTCAGTATCAGTCGGTCGCTGCAGTGACAGTAGAAACAGCTTAGACTGTGAACTCCACACTGAATCTGTACACAACCTGTTTATCTAGCTGTCAATCAGGCTATCAATGTGTGTGTGTAACACACACACACACACACTCAGTCCTGGAGGTGCAGGTCTAGTAGGGTAACGTAGTCTGGAGTCTTTTGCTATGACTATGTGTCACAGCACGTTATCCCAAAATCAGATCTCAAGGAGCATCATCTACACACACACACACACACACACACACACACATACACGTGCACACTGCCATCACAGCAGGCGTCACTTAGATTTGGTTCTTTTGAAGCGGAGCAGAAGTGCGGTAATGTCACAGCCTTGGGCGACAGACTTCTAGCACCCTGACACCCATATTACCCCCCGCCCCCTTTCCTCCTCCTCCTCCTCCTCCTCCTCCTCCTCCTCCCCGTGCTCTTCCCCTGCCATTCCTCTCTTCCATCTCACCCTAACGCTCCTCTCCTTGCCAACCAGCCCACCCACCTGCCATCCTCTCTGCCTGCCCAGCTGCAGCAGACACCACCTTACTCTTCACACACTCTCCAGAAACACTTTTTTTTTCTTCTTCTTTTTTTTAATATCATCATCTCAAATAGAGAGTGCTGTTTCTGGAGCAGGGCTGTCCTCCTCCTGCCCAGAGCGAGAAAAGAGAAAGAGAAAGAGGACGAACATGTTGGGCGTCACTGAACAGGACTACGTGTGTTTTACAGCTCTTAAAAAAAACGTTTCAAATAACTGTTCATTTGTTGGACTGCATGTGAAGTATTTCAACCCCTCTAAAAGTATTTTATGCTGTAGTTCCTACCGTCTACCTACAGATGACGTAGCAGCCTGACCGCTGTGATACACTGTAGACTGAAAACATCTGAATATTTGAACCTGTAATACTCGAAAAGAAGGACAACTTTTTGTGTGTCAGATTTTATCCTATGCTATTTTTTCCATATTCTTATCAATACAGAAGTCCATAGAGATAATGAACTTTTTTTACATGACTGCAAACAGCAGTTTTTAGTCCACTGCTACCTCGACTAAAACTGTATTTGATAAATGTTTGATAAATTTGTTCGGATGAGTAAATTCCATGTCATTCTGTGTCACTAGAAAAAATAATTTTCTTTGCTGACTTCGATTAGGCAGTTGACTAATTTGCAAACTTCTGTCTTCAGAAAACAGAAAAAATATTTTTCAGTGAACAACCCAAGCTAAGCCAGTCCAGATCTGTGCGGCGGCTCACAGTTTCTCTTGGACAGTTTGTGTCTTGTCAGTAAAGTCCGTGGCACTAAGCTTACCTTCCCCCTGTCTTTACTCCGCTTCCACAAACAAGGCGATTTGGGACGTGTAATTTTAGTGAAGTCAAGCAGCTCAGAACTGTGCTCCAGAGTCAGTGGGTTCAACGTATCGACCCAGAGATTTATTCAGTTCAAGCTGCATCGGTGCTTTCAGTGGATTTTCTCCGCCTCCTGGTTCTGTTTGGTCATCAGTCAGGACTGGGCCTCAAGGACAGGATATTAAAAAAAAACACTTGTAAACGTGTAAAAAGTGTCTGATTGTTTGAATAAATAATACTGTTTAATTAGAGGCTTTGTAATTAGTAATCCTGGTTAATTGCATATTTTTATCAAACAGTAAAATGTGAAAAATCTACAAAGTACCATGGACATTTACCAGAACTACATTTACCAGAACTGTCGTAGCTAACGTTAGCCCTGGTGTCTGTGCCGGGACTGTGGTAGCTAACGTTAGCCCTGGTGGCTGTACCAGGACTGTTGTAGCTAAAGTTAGCCCTGGTGTCTGTGCCAGGACTGTTGTAGCTAAAGTTAGCCCTGGTGTCTGTACCAGGACCGTTGTAGCTAAGGTTAGCTCTGGTGTCTAGTATATAACCATTGTGCCAAACATTAGGGATCCAAGACATTTGCAATTGTGTGAACTTGTGTTAATATGTACAGTACACAGCACTTGTTCTGTACTCAAATATTGGGCTGGTAGGAAATATTGAGTTTGTAAGAGTTTTTGTGTGAAACAGGAGGGGTGAGGTGAAAGAGAGAGAGAGACAGAGAGAGAGAGAGTATGGCCTGCGGTCATATTTACGTGAGGCGGCTGCTGGAGCTCAGAGCTAGAGCATGATCCCCTACACTTTTAATTAGACACATTAACATACACACACTTGTTCACACTCTCTCTATCTTCCCTCTATCGTTCTCTCTCCCACAATAGAACTGTTGCATGACCTGAGGCCATGCCGACCACACCACATTAAAACCTGGACTAATCAACCTCATACTCTCATGGACACTTACCCACACACACACACACACACGGACTGGACTAATTAATTCTCCAAACAGAACCTAAGCCCTCGGTCTCAGTGGTTACTCGGTCTGATTAGATGTGGTGACCGTGGCGAGGAGCAAATTAAAACTGCAGTACATCAGAGTAAACAAATGCTCCGACTCCGTCCGGGAGCGCGGAAAGGGATGCGGGGATGATTCAAGTCGTCCTCTTAAGCTTCTTAACCGTGCGCCGTCCAGTTGCCAAGATGTAAAAAGGGAAAATCGATATCCTCGCCTGTGGTCAAATTGAACCAATCACCCACTGAGTAAATGTATAATCATGGTAGTAAAAGTAATGACAACAGTCTTTGACCGAGCGGTGAAGTGCTCTCCGTTTGTCCCACTCCCCAATTTTGTAATTTTTGACGAGTTCCTATGTTTTCATTCGTACGTTCTATAACATCGTGATGTTGTAGCTACTTCATGAAGCAACGAATATTTCTCTGCTCGTCCACGTGCAGACGTTTTGTGTTTGTAGAGTGTAGACTTCTTGGTGGTACAACCTTTGACACAGAGAGTCACTGATGAGGTTAAAAGGACGGGGTTGTGTCGCGACGCAGAAGTTTATCTTTTGAAAGAATAGACAGAAAAAAAGAAACAAAAAAAACAATCAGCATCCTACAGGAATCTTCTTTTTTCCTAATTGGCAGCGCGGCCTCTCTTTGGTGGAAATCAGCAGGTTTCCACCAGTGAGATGCTGGAAGTGTGGACGTAACAGTAGCCTCAGGGTGCAGAGCCAGGCATCCTTGAGGCTGCCATAAGGAAGTGCACTGAGTAGTAGAGGCATGTGCTGGCCACTAACCTGCAGCTAAATACACTGAGAGTCACACACACACACACACAGAGTGGAGTCAACATCTTTGATCTGTCAACTTACAAAGCTCCTGATGAATCTGTGTATTGACAAAACTGTTAAAGAATATCGCACTTCCTTCACCTTCATGTTCACTCACGGTAATTAAGAGTATTTAATCGACCAATTAAAGGCTGTTTAAATTAGCATGTCCAGTTGCGTGTACTAAAGCCGGCCACTTCATTAGAGTAGGCTTTCATCTCAAGCCAACACATTTGACTTATAGTACAACTGGTGTATGTAGTACTACTTATAAAGTTTACTTTAAAAAAACTGCTTTTGTTCTGATAATCATTTAACTTTTATAATTTTGGCTCCAAAACTCAAACATTCTCATTCAGAAAATCAAGAAAGTCCTAGCCCACATGCAGCTGTGCTGGTTGTTGAAGTAACTGCCAGAGGTCGTAGAGGTCACAGACCTCCTGGTCTCATTTACTGCAGGTTGACACGATGTTTGTTTTGTAAAATAATGAGGACGGGAGACGACATGTACAGACTGAATCGACAGACCGTTGGTGGTCAGTGTGTTATCTTTACTAAATTATTGTTTATTTTTCAATTACAAAATTGTCCCACTCCCCTGAGATTCTCTTGCGCCCCCTAGGGGAGACCTGTCCTACACTTGCTCTGGTCTAATCAAGACGTGGTACCAGTTCATGACCCATGGACATGTCCATGTCCTGCTCTAATGTTGTCCCGGTTGTTGACCGTTTGGTCGGAGTCTCGCTGCAGACTCAGAGTGTTGTTAAATACTGTATTTGTACTTGAAAACTATTTTTATTTTTTAAATGTTGTATGACATTGAGACATGAGAGTGAACCTGACGTGAACGTTCACACAGATGTGTGATTGTGTGGCCTGGTTCGCACCAGCAGCACCTCTCACCTGGAAAACTAATGATTATTGACTCCCCTCCAGCGAACATTGGGGACGCTCGCCTCAGGCCTTCAATCACCCCCTCCACACACACACACACACACACAGAGAAAAGCTACAGAGGTACAGTTGACAGCAGACACATGCAGCCGCAGAGACAGAAGGCATCGTTCATTTAGCTTCTTTCCAAAGGCGGCCTGCATGCACACGTTTAGCGTTGAAAGGCAGAGGTTAGCGACGAAAGGGGGGCGGGGTCACAGAAAAGGTAGAGTGAGGTTCAGTGAGTAGTGGGGGTGTTGTCTGTTGTCTGTTGTTTTTTTTTTTTTTTGCTCTAGCAGCAGCAGCAGCAGCAGCATTGCCTGGGGGCCTTCAGCCCTGCCACTCCCCACCATCGGAGAGAGGCTGTCACTCTGTGTCTGTGTCAGCCTTTGTGTGTGTGTGTTTATATGAATGTGCATTTCAGCATTGTGCATATGTGTGTTTCCGTGCCCTTTTTTTTTTTTTTTTTTTTTTTTTCATGTGTGTGTTTGTGTATGTCACTCCTCTTCTCTGTCAGCTGCTTATAGCTGCCAGGCTACATTTACCTCTTTTCCACCAGCACGTTTACTGGTACTGGTGTGTAT